GCACTCGTACTCTCACCGCACCCATGAGGAACTTGTGGCTATGGGTCTTCACACACCAGACCGCATTCATGAGGATCATGTAGCGATGGGCCTGTGTGGTAATCCGCATGTGTGGCAATGCATCTGATTGGTGAATTGCCTGGTTGGTAACTGGTCTGTGTGACGTTAGTTAGTATCGTATTGACTTTTATGCAGTTTCAGTTTGTAAGATTAAATGTTTGGTTATCTGTCAGATTATCTTGTCTCTGATTCGATCCTTTAGAGATACTCCGCAGATAGATGTTTCTTGTCTCTCTCGTTCACGTTTTCTTGTGTCCTGTAAGTTTCGCGTTAGAAAAGAGTAGCTGTGAGTTACTGGGCTATACACAGCCGTGATCACTTGTAAAGTTTAAATGCTTTGGGTTGCTTGGTAGAATAATAATCTTGTGAGATTGTGAAACGTCAGTGTGTCTAAAAGTTTTCTGGTTATTGATTTTGCTACTGAAACGTCGTAACTTTTTAAACTTTTAACTGTAAATCCAAAGTATAAAGGTCCCTACAAAATCTCTGATTATTAGAAAACGATAGGTACGAATTGAAACTCGTTAATGGTTCTAATCGAACGTATAAGGTCGCCCATGAGAACTTTCAAGCGAGGTACCCCGCGGTCCATTAGGTTTTATAGAAATAGCCGAAAGTTATGATGATGGCGTGACGGCGGATGATAGCCAGAGTGATTTTGTCCATGAAACTCCATGATCGCGGTAATAATATACTGTGTGACATAGCTGTGATTGATGATGCTGAGGATGAACTCTCCGATAGCGACACTATATCTGTTAATAGCGACACTATATCTGTTAATAGCGACACTATATCTGTTAATAGCGACACTATATCTGTTAATGGCAGCACTGTATCGGCTAGTTCACGTACCTAGCGCTATTAGTAATAGTATGGAAAGTCCATCATCAGATTTACCAGAGTGAATGAGTGTTGTAACTGATTACTTATTTATGAAATTAAAAAAAAGAAGAAAAAAAAAGAAAGTGAAAAAAAAAAAAAAAATAAAGTAACAAGAAAAATGTAGGAAAGAGTCATTGAAGGGAAAATCCGGTCCAATGACTCAGCTAAAGGGACTGATGTCCAGTCTAGCATTCGCTAAAGGGACTGATGTCTAGTCTAGCATTCGCTAAAGGGACTGATGTCCAGTCTAGCATTCGCTAAAGGGACTGATGTCCAGTCTAGCATTCGCTAAAGGGACTGATGTCCGGTCTAGCATACGCTAAAGGGACTGATGTCCAGTCTAACATGCGCTAAAGGGATATTTATCCGGCCTAGCACAATCGTCTCCAGTTCTAATACTGATGAGTGATGATAACGTAGTAGTTATGGTAAGCTGAAGGGTTAACCGAACCCGCACAATATTGAAAGCTTTTGTTAAAGGTTATACTAGATAGAGATTAGAAATGTCAGGATGAACGAACGGGTTGTTATCTTATTCCCAGATGCTCGGAAAACGCTCGAGGACGAGCGTACGTCAGTATGGCCGTGACGGCGCCGCCGTCATTATTGCAAGCTGTGAACAAACAACTGACGTCACTTCAACCCCACCACCGAGTGATATATAAAGCAGCGCAAGCGCAACCTCGAGTCAGTCGTTCGTCGATCGTTGCCCAGTTCACACGTTACGCAATCGCTGAGTAATTTTATTGTTGGTTTTATTTGAGTGTTTCCTTTATATAATCAGTGCTGAATTATTCAATTATTATAATTAAAAATTAATGTGAAAGTAAGTTCGAAATAAACTAAGTGATTGTGTGAAGCCCTTTGTTTTATTTTCAAATAATGTCGGACCCTGATCCTACAAGTATTTATATTTATACTATATTTATTTATACTACCTATATTTATTTAGTTATTATTTAGCTTTAGTCTTTTTTAAACATATTTCTTATATTTCTGTTACACACTGTGTCTTTTGTTTTAATTAGATTTCCTGTCTCAGGTCTACTGGAAGAAATTCCAACAGGAATAAGTAGCACCTTTGTACTCTTATTTTATATATGTGTTATCCTCTGTGCTGTCTGTGTGTACATAAATTATTAAATAAATAAATAAATAAATAAATAAATAGAAAGCAAACAAAAATAAAGTAAAATAACAATTCTAAACAAAATAAGTTGAAGTAAATAATGAAAATAACAATCTCACGACAAAAACTCAGAGCGTGTATTACGCAGGAGCGTTCCGTCTCGTACGGCGACTCACTCGCTTCAAGTCGCTTCTGAAGTTCTGAGCTTGGGAGCGTGTAGGCGTGTCTTTTATAGTAACGACGTCGAGTAGGGGCGAGTCACGTGATGTTTACAATCAGTAATACACCTTTTTGTTGTGATTAATGCCTTAATCAAAGAAAATTAAAGTAGATACATGATATAAAAAAAAACTACAAAACTGCAAAATTTCAGACACAGAACACAAATTAAAATTACAACAAAATAACAATAATAATGTGTACCCAACACAATAATCTCGAAACAGAGATACAACAACATTATGTTGTCAGTTTTGTAGTTTTTTTTATATCATGTACCTACTTTAATTTTCTTTATGTTATAATTATTGTAATTTATTTGATTAAGGCATTTGTTGTATTTGTGTTAATCAATAGAGATATTTGACAATGTACTTTTTTGTTATTGCTGCGGCGCCTAGTGCCTTTCCAATAGCAAACCACAACTACATGTATGATTGCCGGTCTAATAATCAAACATCGCGGAGCAAGTTAAAGTTGCTAGAAGTGTAGCCTTTCATTCTCTCAGTCCGCTCCACTGTTAACACACTATTTTAATAATATGATTTTTATTGCAAAAAAGGGCTTTTTATTGCTCCATTGTGTACCCAAATATACAGTTATCATGATATAACAATAAAGTATGCAAAGAGGCTTAGGTAATGCTAATCTTATTAACCAGTGAACCCATTTGATTAAATTCAGTTCAACGAAAGTTTGAGATCCTGGCGAGGCCAGCCATGCAATGTGGAGCAACGAGGGAGACGTGTTGATGTTATGAATATCTTTGAGTGGCCTATTAACTAACTTACACTACTTACTTATAGGGCAAGGTGTCACACACACACTACAGTTCTATCGTGTAAATCTCACGGGACAGGAACTATACATTAATATTCTAAGGCGCGCTATTTTGACCGGACTTTTCAACTTTCGAGCATAGTAAAGTAGGTATATCAAATCGTTAGCAACTTCAGTCTTAAAATAAAAGATTCTATTAATTTCAATCTTATTTATGGGTTTTTTGACACTACCTCTAGTTCCAAGATCTATCAGATTATTTCAGTTTTGATGTTTCTGTCGATCGACCGGAGTTGGATCCAAGAATGAACCTCCAGAGCATCAGCTCTTTATCAACCTTTATCAAAGGTTCTGTCGTAAAAATTGTGAATACTTACAATTGAAATGAAATGAAATGGTTAATTTGTAAACATAGGTTATGTAAAGTTGTTTGAATGTTTGACATACAGTGCAATACAGCAAGTCCGCCTATGTTTTTCCTCGAAGCATACAAATTCATATAAGTATTAGTAAATAGTTATATAGAAAATCAGAAAATAAAAATACATTAATAGTCATTTAAGTATCTACACAGGAACAAAACATTTAAAATAGAAGTTAACCACTGAACCATCGTCATCTGTCATATCATGAGCTTTAAGGAATATAATAATATGGGATGTCATGATAAGCACAAAATTACATAGGATATCCAATGTCAGTATGCGTTTCAAAAATTAAGTGGTCAAATTAAAAGGATAAAATGGAAAAATAAGAGTACAGAATGTCATATGTAGGTACCTACGACATAGGCAAATCCATGGTCAAACTGAATAATAATATGATCACCCAAGATAGTCAGGGTTGGTTACATTTCTGAAAAACCCAAACTTTTACATAAGTACTTACTTATATTGCAAGTCGGACATAGCAGGCCTAGCATCTATCATATAAATAATCATTAATTTTATAATACCAAGCATTCATGTAGACGTTTTTTAAATATATTAATATTGTCAATTTCTATTATGTCTAGATTTTGGGTGCCATACCTAAAATGTTTTTATTGAAGATGGCTTTTTTATGTTGTGTAGCGCAGATCCTATATTTATGACGTTTACTTTTTGGGTGGGTGAACAGGTGGATGTTAGTTTTCACGTAGCTGGCAACCTCAAATATGTACAGGGAGGGCAGAGTTAATACTTAATAGTTTTAGTTCTTGAAAATATGGTTTGCAGCTGACTGTACTTTGTTTACCACATATTGCCCTGATGCATTTCTTCTGTGATTGGAACGCCATTTTTCTGCCAATTAATCTGCATTTTGTAAAATCATTCTTCAGTTTTGGACTAAATACTTTTAGAACAAAGCCATAGCCGAACAGGCCAACAGACTGCAGAATAATTGTCACCTCTGTTTCTGTTTGTTCCTAGACTAATGAAAATAATGAAGAATACAGAATATAATTCTTACAATTACGAGAATTACAAACCAACCCCCCAAATCTATACGATTCCCCAATCATCGTACCCTACCATGATCATCATCGAGTCTGGGAGTCTGGGTCCATGCTCCATACAATGTTGGCCAATGACCTTGGACGTGTCTCTTGTCCGATTGATTTTCAGTGTTTTGTCAGGTGACAAATGACAATTGACTGGCAATTGATGCCAATTTGGACAGATTATAGACATTGTAATTCCCGCAATGGATTTGACTTTCCCAATTGTGCTGTGTGTGATGTTGTAGAGGACGTGCAACACATTTTGTATGAGTGTCGACGTATTGAGTCTCAGAGCTATCAAGTCTTTAGTTTTAAGAGCTTTAATAAAGATTTTAAATAATGACTTGCCGTCACTGACCGGCCAGATGGCTGTAGATCATTAGTTATACATAAATATCATTTCGATGTAAGACAGTAAATAATGTACGCATATAATTTATATTTGTCTTTATTCATATAATTTTCATGGTACAACAATATATCAATTTGTAACATGGTTAAAGATTACTAATAACTAAGTATATTCAATGTTTATTTATGGCCTACTGAGATTGGCACGGGTTTACTACAAGCACAATACGATCACTCCGACATCATTATACACACAATATCCTACGTTACGTTTAGTAACACTCACTTCACTTCCTAGCTCTACTACAATACTTCGTTTCACAAAGTATTTCTAAGGCATGCCACAACAATCGTTATTTAGTAAAATAATAATATCATCTTACCCTTGATCTTATCAAGGAAATATCTCCAATTCTAAACGTGTAGAAATAAAGACTCTTAACCAATAAATTATTTCATTACAGTTTCCATGTAAAATTAAGACAAATACCGTTAAGTACTCCTCTCACTACTCATACATATACTAGCATGTTTTACTTTCCTAATGGTTGGCAAACACGCACTTAATATAACAATAACACTTATTTTCGCCATACAAATAAAAAAAACAGAGGTCTTAATTAATATTAAGAGTATTCAGGTCAGTTCAACTGGTTTAGAGTTACACCGGGGCCCTCCGTCGTGAAAGTTTAAAGCAACAGTATTTGTCCACACTCGAAGCGACGACGCGCGCTTTAAACTCTAAACGGTAGAGAGACTGAGCAGTATCCGACGTGAGCCGGTTGTACGGAGGGTATTGTTTTCTTAATATTATTTTATGTCGGCAGAATTAGTGACAATGTCTGAAATTGAATAAACCGATAAATCCCTTTGTAATCACGAATTCGACTAGACCGACGAGCTTTTGCTTTGTATTTACTACTTACTTACTTATGACTACCATTCACGACCAATCTTCTTCTATACCTATATAGGAATAAAAAGTACCAAAATGTTGGTCCACCATTTCAGTCTCGAGTCATGGATCCCTTAATAGTACGCCGCACGCAGATGTAGTCCATTTATATTTGTGCAATTAGGAATGTTTACTTAAATTGTAGCTTACCACGTATATCCAATTATCGTCATAGCATAATTTACACCAGGGGAATGTTTGGTGTCCGCCGGGGAACTGAGTATTATTCATAGGTTTAACATAATATGTGTCGCAGATTGTCCATCCCACTCGGACCGAGGCACTACAACACTGCCGCGCTCGTCTGCGGGGACTTTGGACCCGGTACAGTAAGCATCAAACTAAACTACACCCAGAAGGAAAAACAATTCTTCACAATTCTTCAAATGTCAGCTCACTTATAATTAGTTTAACATTCAAAATATTTAGCAGCTCATACATTACAGTTTACTATCACTAGTTGATTTGGTTGGGTAGTATTCATTTCGAACGGAGTCTGTGAAAAGTCATTGATAAGAAGAGATATAGACTTGAGTTTGCTCAAAGTTCTTCAGTAATTCGACGTTATTTTGGAAATGGTTAGATTCACAAAGAGATTCCTCAAGAATTGTACTCTAACTTTTTTAGAGACGTGACAAAAAAATTATATAAAACTAGAAGTGCACTCGATCGGTAAGCTCGCACTGAAAACCGTGACACAGCGCGGACATACCACTACGGCACGCAGTGTCGGTTTGATAATTATACTCACTCGTACTACTCGAGTGGCCATGTCGTCATTGAGCGAGGCACGGGTAGACAGCTACCTCAACGAGAGACCCGAACTTGTTTCGAAATATTCATACAAGCAAGACGACGGCAGACCGGGAGTGCAGAGTCGGAGAGAGGCTAAGCCAGCGCCGGAGTCAGCGGCACCAGCGTGGACTCGTCGCCGTCCAACGCGTCCGACGACTTGTCCAGCGCCGGCGGCGCGCCCGACGCCAGCGTCGTGGCCAGCGGCGCAGCCGGGCCGGCCGGGCCGCCCGCCGGCGCCGGGCCGCGGCCGCGCGGCAGCGCCAGGTACAGCTTCTCCCAGAACCACGGGTCTCCCCAGCGCACGTAGGTGTTGGCGGCCAGGTACCGCCGCAGTCGGTCGTCCAGCGGCAGCCGCGCCGGCTCCTCCAGCAACACCACCACCAGCCGCGGCCGCGCCTCGCGCAGCGCCAGCGCGTGCGCCTGCAGGGGACCGACGGTTAATACAACAGCCCACGGACGGTGTCATCTAAACGAGTGGACGCATTCTGACCTCTTGGAACTCGGCGCGCGCCCAGCTGGAGCGCAGGAAGTGCTCGGAGACGACGGCCACGGTGCGGCGCGAGGCGCGGACCGAGGCCGCGATCTGCGCCGGGATCCAGCCGCCCGGCGCCCAGTCGCGGTAGTGCAGACAGAGGCGGTAGGGCGCGGGGCCGCTCTCCAGGCGCGCCACGAGCTGCGAGCGCACGAAGTGCTCGTCGCCGTGCGAGAAGGACACGAAGACGTCGAAGCGGCGCGCGTCGTCGTCCGGCTCGGGCTGCGCCGGCAGCCAGCCGCGCCGGTGCAGCGCCGCCTTGAGGCGCAGGCGCAGGCCGGGCTGGCGCCACAGCGCGGCCAGCAGCGCCGCGCCCAGCAGCAGCGTGGCCAGCGCGGCGGCCGCGCCCAGCGCCGGCGCGGGCCAGGCGGCGCAGGGCGCGGGGCGGGCGCCGGCCAGCGGCGCGCCGCCGAGGCAGGTGGCGGCGGCGGCGTCCCGCAGGCCGGCGCGCAGGACGGCGAGCGCGTCGGCGGCGCCGCAGCCGCAGTGCAGCGGGTTGCCGGCGAGCCACGCGCCGCGCCGCACCAGTTGGCGGGCCGAGCGCGCGCTCAGAGAACTCACCGAGTTGTTGCGCAAGTCCAACACCTGACGTCGATGGATCACTTTGTATTACGTAATTCATAATTTGGTCAAAGTCATAAATGAAGCAGAATTAATCACATTGGCTAGTTATTATGAATAATATATTGGAAGACTTGGATAAAGTAATAAAACAAGCAGGTGTAAATGAGCAGAGCTGTTTTGCGATACGGGGCGGCGGCTGAACGGATTCTCAATGTGACACGTACTGCAACAGTAGTATTGTCAATGCGCGACGTTCTACATTAAGTTAGTGTCATGAGTGGTTGTGTGTGTCCATTGTATTCAAGGGTGATGAAATAAATAAATAAATAAATAAATAAATAAATCAGCCCCATCCGTGGTGGTCTGGTGGTTCTTTGAGTCTGGTTTTGTCGGGCGGCGAGCTACCCAGGATTTACTTTTTGATAGCACCATCAGTTTTGTCACCCTCAATTTAATACTAAAAAGTTTTGTAGAATGTTTCGCATTAACAATACGGCTAATCTAATCGGGGTATGTAATGTAATACGGCGGATTATACAATTCGCCTGTGACATGCTGTTTAAGAGTTGGTAGTGACCGTGACATTGTGCGGCAGGTCGTCCAGCTCGACGCGCTCGATGCTGTTGTTGGCCAGGTACAGCTCCCAGTCGGCGGCCAGCCCGCGCGGCGCGTGCACGGCCGCCAGCGCCGCGCGCGCCGAGCGCAGCGCCGCGCCCTCGCAGCGCACGCGCAGCACGGCGCGCTCGCCCGGCCGCCACGCGCAGGCGCAGGGCGCGGCGCAGCGCACGCCGGGCGGCGCGCCCGCGCACTCCAGCGCGGCCGGCGCGCGGCCCAGCGGCGAGCCGTCCGCGCAGCGCGGCACTAGCGGCGCGTGCGCGGGCCGCTCGTGGAAGGCGCGCGCCGCCCAGTACACGTGGCAGTCGCAGCGCAGTCTGCTGGACAGGACCAGGCGCGCGCGCAGTGCCGGCTTGTCGAGGTTGACGGCGCTCTTGTAGTCCTCGCGCGTGTACTCCAGCACGCTGACGTTGTTGCGCTGCAGGTCCACGCTGACGTCGGCGGTGCCGTAGAATTGCATGTCTGCGAACTGCCGGGGACGGTCAGCGCGGTGGGAGGGCGCAGGCCGGGGCCGAGCGCGGACCGACACTCACCGTAATGTATTCGAACAAGTTGTCTGTGAGGTCCAGAGTCTTCAGTTGCGGCATATTTTCCCGCCAATCACGGCAGATCATACTGATATTCGTATTTTTCAATACGAGTTTCCTTAACAGCTTCAAATATTGTAGAGGTGATGATTCTAAAAAAGTACGTTTTCAATTTCTATTTACTGCCATTATTAACATTTGAAACAGGAAATGGACGAAAATGTCAAGCTTAGGTCTAATTGTGGGAGAGCTTCGGCACGAATGGGCCAGCTCGACCGGAGTGATGATACCACAGCCTCACAGAAAATCGAAGTGAAACAATGCTTGCATTGTGTTTCGTTGTGTCAGTGAGATCACCAGAGGGCCAATTACCCCTCCCCCCCTTCTCCAATCTCCCCAATCCCTGAGTCTCCAACAAACCTCAAATTTGTCACGTATGTTACCTCGCACTGCGTCAGATTTACTGCCGCAGGAGTCTTTGAGGTTGTTGTTGCTGAGGTCCAAGCTAACGAGTGACGTGACGGCCGACAGGGACGACAAAACGCTCTGTGTTAACTGGTTACTGGACAGATTCAGCGACTCCAGCGCATTTGTCTTCGCGAATAAGCCGCTGCAATAATAAAGGTCAGTTTGATACACACATACAATACACCCTTATGCTATTTGGTACGCGAGAAACGAGAGCGATCAGTGAGTAGATGCTCACCCCGGTAACTCCAGCAGTCGATTCGAGGACAAGTCCAGCAGCTTTAGCTGCGGCACGTCGTCCAGCAACCCCGGCGGCAGGTACTGCAGCGCCGTGCTCACCACGCGCAGCTCCCGCAGCGCCACCGCGCCGCGCAGCGCGCCCGGCTCCAGCCGCGCCAGCCGCCCTGCCGAGTCCACGCGCAGCGACTGCAGCGCCGAGCAGCGCGCCAGCCAGCCCGGCGGCAGCTCCTCGGCCAGGGCATCGCGCACGTCCAGCGACTCCAGCGCGCACTGCAGCCACGGTGCCGGGTGCGCCTCGCCCCAGCCGAACACCGTCAACTTGCGTAACGACGGCGACAGCTCACGCGCCAGCACCGCCGCCGGCAGATCCAGGGACAGCATCCGCGGCGCGGCGCTAGCATCCACGCGCACGTTGGCAGGGTCGCGTACGACCAGGTAGTCCAAGCGCGGCAGCGCGGCCAGGTCCGCGGCCGTCACGTCCATGCCCATGCGCATGAGGCTGAGCGTCTCCAGCGAGGCTGGCAGGCGGCGCAGCTCGCCGGGCGCCGTGCGCACGCTGTCCAGCAGCAAGTACTGGAGCTGGGACAGCGCGGCCAGCGCCCCGGGCGCCAGGGCCGCCGTCAGCAGCTCCAGTTTGTGCAGATGCTGGAGCTGTGCGAAGTGTGTGGCCGTGAGATTGCCAATTTTGGTCAGCGTCATCTTTTCGAGCACAACCACGTTGAATCTCTCGAGCACGTCGGCATACGAGCTTTGTGGCGACGGACAATCTTCAAAGTATACCTTATTTACGCGTAGTTGCGATTCAAAAGTAGGTAATGCTGAATTGTCGAGTGTCAAACCTTTCGTGCATTTTAATTTAAAGTAGCCACTGTCTGTATATTCAAGATTGACTGTGAAACCTGTTGGAATGAAATATTTTTTTTAATATAGGTAATCATATCATTATGAACTAGACATACAGGGTGTCCCTGAAGTCAACGATCAAATGGCACCAGGTGATCAGCAAAGTTTCAACAGTTATCAGATAAATAAAGAAAAAAATCCGAGTCACTTAGTTTTTAAATTACAATGACTTAGGTGTTATCCACAAAAAAGCACACCCTGTGTCAGTCTATTGACTCTTGTTGCTACAATTATTTATTGTTTCGTCTGTATTTTTGCTTACGTTATTTTGAATAGTGCTTTAGTATTATGGAATTATAAATTCTGGGCGAACTGCTGTAGTTTGTAAAAGAATATATTTTTTTGATGAACCAAGTATTTTTCGTTATTCGTAATTTCACGAAAGAAGAGTACTTAATATGGATTCTAAAATGGTATATCACTCCCTACAGTATTTATTAAATTCCTCACAAAAAATCGTTTTTAAATGAAACTCCGCTTCGAACAATTTATTAGGACTTACCAAAATTTATTAACCGACTTCAAAAAAAGGAGGAGGTTCTCAATTCGACCGTATATATTCTTTTTTTTTTATGTTTGTTCGCGGATATTTCCTTTGTATGTAAACCGATTTTGAAAATTCTTTTTTTGTTAGAAAGGAGATAGTTCCAGAATGGTCCCATGATAAGGAAATCAGGATCTGATGATGGAAGACCAGGGAAACCGAGGGGAACTTTTAAAAATTATAGGGGTGGCTAGGGCATTTGTTAATTTTTTCATTAAGTATTAAAAACCACTACAATCTAATAAAGGTCTGGAGCCGATCTGATGATGGAGCCGAGAGCCAGTTGAGGGAACTCCTCAACGGTTAACAGTAGCTACCTTGTGTTTGGGTTTGATTAATTTGTATTGATGAGGACTTTACACCTGTGTGGGATGTAATTGTCAATAAGGGTCTGATGATGAAGTAGTACGATAGTCGAAGGAACTCCTCAACGGTTAACAGTAGCTACCCTGTGTTTGGGTTTGATTAATTTGTATTGATGAGGACTTTACACCTGAGTGGGGTGTAATTGTCAATAAGGGTCTGATGATGAAGTAGTACGATAGTTGAGGGAACTCCTTAACGGTTAACAGTAGCTACTTTGTGTTTGGGTTTGATTAATTTGTATTAATGAGGACTTTACACCTGAGTGGGGTGTAATTGACAATAAGGGTCTGATGATGAAGTAGTACGATAGTTACGGGAACTCCTCAAAGGTTAACACTAGCTACTTTGTGTTTAGTATATGAGAACCATCTAAACAAGTCACCACGTATACCCATTCTCAACATTTTATTTTTTAGTATGAGATGATCTATCCGATCGAAACACTTGCGATAGTCAGTGTATACGACATCCACCTGAAAACGATGTGACATGTGCTCTGACAAGAAGTCACTACAGACGATAAGATTTGATGTAGTGGAGCGACCATTTAGAAAACCATGCTGGTGCTCGCTAAAATTGAGTTTAACAGCTGAATATACCTGCTTGTATACAATTTTTTCAAGTATTTTCGCGAACACACATAACTTTGAGATTGGCCTATAGTTCTCCACCTCGTCCCTCGGACCTTTTTTATGTATTGGAGTTACATACGCCGACTTCCAAATCGCAGGCATAGTTCCTTCTGTTAAAGACCGTCTGAACAAGATAGAAATAGGGAGGGTTAAAGATTTCGCACAATTAAGTATGAAGATTGGTGGGAAATTGTCAGGTCCTGCGGATTTGTTAAGGTCGACCTGTTTTAATAACTTAAACACTTCAGAACTCTGAATTTCAATCGAGGCAATATCCGATCTGTCGTCATAAATATTTACAGATGTTTCAAAATCCTGCATGTCGAGCTTAGTATGCGCGTCTTGGAGATCGGGGGGTACAAAGTTAGAGTAAAAGTAATCAGAAAATATGTTGCATATGTCCTCCCCGGTCCCAAACGATTGCTCCTTGTATTTAAATATTGAGGGGTAAGAATGCGATTGTTTTTTAGACTTGACATATCGCCAAAATGCCCGCGGATTCTTTGTAATTCCTGATTCCACATCCGCAATGTAGCTGTTAAACATGTCCCTCTCTAAGTCTTTGGCACGCTGACGTAAAGTAGTGAAAGATAATTGATCAGATAGATTACCATATTTTTTGAATTTCCGGTGTGATTTAGCTTTTTCTCGAAGAATTTTGATTAAAGGTTTTTTATACCAGGGAGGATATTTTACAGGTGTCACAGTGAGTCGGTGCGGGACGTGGATATCTCTAACTTTATTTAGTATGTCGTAGAAAAATAGTACAGCGTCATCAAGAGAGCCGCCATGTAACTCTTTATGCCAGTCACAGCCATCCAACTCCTCAGCAATAGCAGTGTAGTTGGCCTGTCGGTAGTTGTAGCTTACTATAGGCTTTATGGGTAGTTTATGTGGTTGCATGAAATTCGTAGATAATAAGATGGCTTTGTGGTGCGGGTCCTCAGGAACTAGAGGATCACAACAGTGATCGACTCTGACTTCGCTGTTAGACAGCACCCAGTCCAATATTCTGCCGTTATTATTACGAAGATGATTATATTGTGACAAATTGCAAACTGTAATAGTATCTATAAGATTTAATTGGCTTATGCCTTGAATATTTTGAGGTGACATAGTGCTATGGCTCGAAGGTAACCAGTCTATGTATGGTTGGTTAAAATCTCCTAACACTAGAAATTTATCCGCGGGGTTCTCGAGGACAATGTTCATCAAGTTGCTCGAAAAGCAAGCGAGTTGCTCTGTTAAAGAATTGCCTAAATTTTGGGAGCAGATATACACAACACCTATATGTATTTTATATGATATCCTAGGTTTCTTGAGTTGTAATGTAATGGTCACCCATATGTCCTCCGCGGACGAACACCATTCACTTCTGAGTGTTGCCACCAGTGCACGACGGATAGCTATCAAAACACCTCCACCCATCGTTTGATTAGTACTCACATAGTCTCTGTCACGTCTCCACACTACGTACCCATCGTCAAACAACTCACTGTCACTAATGCCATCAACAAGCCAAGTCTCCGTCAAGCAGATAACATCGTAACCATGTATGCACACATTTCTGAAGAAAACAGATGTTTTTGTTCGCAATCCCCGTACATTCTGATAATAACAACTGATAGGTGCCATCACAAATAATTATTACAGAGTAGCATTTGAATATATAAAATCAAATAAATTGTGAGGTATATCAACAATAAATGAAGAAATGCACTATCGAAAGTTAAGCTTTTTAGTGGCAAAAAACAATTTAGCGAGTTATTACGTAGCAGATAAAGCTCATGATAGTGTAAATCACCAGCAAGAATTAAAATTGTAAAATATTTAACTAATAAATAAAGCGGTGCAGCGACGAAGCAATTTAAGCATTTAAGTATATTCAAATAGAGTTCCGAATTGCATAGCCAAAGCGATCTAAACCGGTTGACCCAAAGCGATGTGTGAACAAAAGGCCGGCGCGCAACCAATGCATATAAAAAACAAGTACCTGTGGTTCCCAACATTAACAATACTGATTGATACAAGCGGTGATTGTGTATTGGATTAAAAAAACTTCCTTAGATCCAGTTCGGTTTTAATCTGATGTTTTGGAGAAGTATTATTTTTCCGTATGAATATCTTGCATCCTGTCACCCACACATATTCAAAGCCTTTTTCCCTCACGAAGGATTTTGTTTTATTCAGCAACGCTTTATTATCGATAGTTAGGTGGTCATTAATATAAATTTTGCTACTATCCTTCCCAAGTCCCACAGTGTTTGCACTAATGCCACCTTTGTGCTTCTTCGCAGCAGCCACAAAATTATTTTTTATATAATTGTTGTGTATCGATATAATTATGTTTTTACGTTGACTATCACCTCGTGTCGGTACCCTCGAGATATAATCAATCTGTTCCTTTGGGATGCGATAGTTAATAACACCACCCAGTTTATCCACAATTTCAAATAGGTCTTCTCCATTGGAGATTGGCACACCTTTAATTTCGACATTGTTCATGCGACATCTCTGATCGTTTTCGCGTTGTAGTGCCTCCAAATGGTCGCATCTGTTTAATATTTTGGGAATCTCATCTTTCGTGGACTTTAGGGTGACAATTTCAGACTCCACACTAGACACTCTTACCGTTAAAGCCTCCACGGAGTGATGCATATACTCGACAGATGATTTCAGTTCGGAGAACTCGGCCGTAATGGTCCTGAGTTGCAGGAGCTCCTTCTGGATAGTCTTCACGCTTTCCAATAGCGCTGGTAGAACTTCCATTTGAGAAGACAGTCTCTTCAACTCCGAGAGTATGCCGTCCGTCTCTGCCCTTGAAGCATTGGGACGCGGGCTGGCAGTCGATGTGTTTCTACAGGAATTGCACTTCCAAGCGCTTCTCCTTTCGTCTCCCAACTTTCTCCAACCAGCTTCGGTAATACCCGCGCAGGGAAAATCGAAACGGCTTGCACATATTGAGCACGTAACACCATCCCTTGCCTCGACATCGCAGCGCTTGCACGTGAACATATTGAGGTGTAGACAACTTTGAGAAACGTTGGCAAAATTATTTATTTAAACGAGTAGCAGGTCAGTACGCGTGAGAGCAGTTAGTCGTCTACCGCCAGACTGAACTCCAATATTGTAATTGTCAATAAGGGTCTGATGATGAAGTAGTACGATAGTCGAAGGAACTCCTCAAAGGTTAACACTAGCTACTTTGTGTTTGGGTTTGATTAATTTGTATTGATGAGGACTTTACACGTGAGTGGGGTGTAATTGTCAATAAGAGTCTGATGATGAAGTAGTACGATAGTTAAGGGAACTCCTCAACGGTTAACAGTAGCTACCTTGTGTTTGGGTTTGATTAATTTGTATTGATGAGGTCTTTACACCTGAGTGCGGTGTAATTGTCAATAAGGGTCTGATGATGAAGTAGTACGATAGTTGAAGGAACTCCTCAAAGGTT